AACAATGAATTTTGCCTCCGGGGGCCCTCTTGGGAGTGCTCTTGGAGGCCTCTTGGGGCGTCTGGGGGCTATCTTGGGCGTCTTGGAGCGATCTTGTGGCATGTCGGACCCCTCGTGTACCATCTTGGGGGCCTCTTGGGGGCCTCTTGGCCTTTCTTGGGGCTCTCGGGGACGTCTCGGAGCCCTGTTGGTGCGCTCATGGAGCGCTCCTGGAGCGCTCTGGGGGACTCCTCCCGGGACTCTCTCAGGACCTTGCCGGGGTACTTTTCGTCCGTGGACCCCCAGAGGCCGCCCCGCGCGCGCAAACTAGAGAATTGTTAACCAGCTCCTGCTCTTCCTCCTCATCATCATCATCCTCATTATTTTCCTTATCCTCCTCCTCCTCCCTCCTCCTCCTCCTCCTCCTCCTCCTCCTCCTCCTCCTCCTCCTCCTCCTCCTCTTCCTCCTCTTCCTCCTCATCCTCATCCTCATCCTCGCTCCTCCTGATTCCTTCTCCTCCTCCTCCTCCTCCTCCTCCTCCTCCTCCTCCTCCTCCTGCTGCTGCTGCTGCTGCTGCTCGCTCCTCGCTCCTCCTCGCTCCTCCTCGCTCCTCCTCGCTCCTCCTCGCTCCTCCGCCTCCTCCTCCTCCTCCTCCTCTTCCTCCTTCTCTTCCTCTTCCTCCTCGCTCCTCCTGCACCTCGCTCCTCATCCTCCTCCTTCTGCTCCTCCTCCTTCTCTTCCCCCTCCTCCTATTCGTCCTTGTCCTCGTCGTGCCTCCTCGTGATGCCACCTCTTCCTCATTCCGTCCGCGTGCCTCCTCCGCTTGCCTCGTCGATCGACCGATCCTTGGGTTCACCTCATTGTGTTCTGGATTCCACTCTGGATTTCTTATTGTCCCCTCTCGGAGTCCCTCTGGGGTCCCCCTTGACTCCCCGCTGATTCCCGCATGGACTCTTACCTCTGACTCTCTTCTCGACTCTTCCCTGGCCCCCTGGACTCCCCTCCCCGACTCCCTCGACCCCTTGACCTGGGCATCGATCGGACGTGTGCATTGTTTCTCGGCGAGGACCCTCGAGGAGCATCCTGAATCATCGAGCCAACAAACAGAGAGCGCACGAAAGCAGCACATGCACGGAGAATGGAGTCCGAGCGATGGCGAGTTGACTCCCTGCCACCTACGGTAGGTTCGGGTCGTGTCGACCGGCGGCGACCCTGCCAGCGGCGTTCAACCTTGAACGCCGCGGGCGACCCAGAATCGTTCGATGTGGAACGATCTGGACATCCGTAAGGGCTTCGCCCCCTGCCGCCGGCCCCCTGTCTCGGAGAATTTGCCATGGAAGAGCTAAGTCATGAGGCCTTGGCGCTGTCGTGAAGCAGTATAGAAACTTCATGCGAAGCCGATTCGCAATCAGCACAACCAACTGATCACAAGAGGGGTTACCACACCTGGCGATTGGTAAGACGTGTATGGTTTACGGGCTTGGTTACCACACCTTGCGATTAAAGGGCCGAGGGAGTTCTCGCAGTTTGGGTTACCACGCCTTGCGATGGATGTGCGTGAAGGGTGGCACCGAATTTCAGAAATGTGGCAAATCCCTGTATGTTTTTGGACCCTGACCCCGCGGATCTGCGTGAGGGGTGGCACCGAATTTCAGAAATGTGGCAAATCCCATGTGTTTTTGGACCCTGACCCCGCGGATCTGCGTGAGGGGTGGCACCGAATTTCAGAAATGTGGCAAATCCCTTATGTTTTTGGACCCTGACCCCGCGGATCTGCGTGAGGGGTGGCACCGAATTTCCCGCGGATCTGCGTGAGGGGTGGCACCGAATTTCAGAAATGTGGCAAATCCCATGTGTTTTTGGACCCTGACCCCGCGGATCTGCGTGAGGGGTGGCACCGAATTTCAGAAATGTGGCAAATCCCATGTGTTTTTGGACCCTGACCCCGCGGATCTGCGTGAGGGGTGGCACCGAATTTCAGAAATGTGGCAAATCCCATGTGTTTTTGGACCCTGACCCCGCGGATCTGCGTGAGGGGTGGCACCGAATTTCAGAAATGTGGCAAATCCCATGTGTTTTTGGACCCTGACCCCGCGGATCTGCGTGAGGGGTGGCACCGAATTTCAGAAATGTGGCAAATCCCCTGTGTTTTTGGACCCTGACCCCGCGGATCTGCGTGAGGGGTGTCGATTTCGAGCCCTCCCAGCAATTCAGACAACGCGCCCAGGGATCGCTAAAAAGCCACTTTGGGTCTCCCCCCCCTCGCGCGGTCAATCAACTAGTTACAGTAACCAGCAATAAGTCAACTAGTTACAGTAACCAGCAAGAAGCAGAACTGTAACACTGGAACCTACAACCTACGACTGGTACAGGAAACTGCGAATCACGGGCCTACAGCCTGGTGGCCCCACAAGGGGGCCAGCGGATTTCTGAAATGGCCGATCGGTCAAGGTTGAATGATCCCCGAGGTGTCAGAAACCAACGCTGGGGTCGGCACGACACGAACCTGCCGTACGCCGCGAGTCTCGTCTCCCCCTTTGCGTCCTCGTCGCCGCCGCTGGCGTCGCGTCGCCGCTTCCAGCCGTCGTCCTTCGGGGCGGCGGGCTGCGGAGCGGTCGGGTCGGGCGGGTCGGATCGAGCTGGCCGCAGATCGGGGCAGCGAGCACCACAAGGAGGGCAGAGGGGGAGGAGGAGGAGGAGGAGGAGCAGGAGCAGGAGGAGGAGGAGGAGCAGGAGCAGGAGCAGGAGCAGGAGGAGGAGGAGCAGCAGAAGGAAGAGGAGGAGGAGAAGCAAGAGGAGGAGGAGAAGAATGAGGAGGAGCGAGGAGGAGGAGGAGGAGGAGGAGGACGAGGAGGAGGAGGAGGAATGAGGAGGAGGGGGAGAAAGATTCTGGAGAGTAAGAAGAGAAGCTGGAGGAGGGGACTGAGGAGGAGGCGGAGAAGGAGGAGGAGCGAGGAGCGAGGAGGAGGAGGAGGCGGAGGAGGAGGAGCGAGGAGGAGGAGGAGGAGCGAGCGAGGAGAGGAGGAGGAGGAGGGGAGGAGGAGGTGGAGGAGGAGGAGCGAGGAGGAGCGAGGAGGAGCGAGGAGGAGCGAGGAGGAGGAGGAGGAGGGAGGGGAGAGGAGGAGAAGGAGGAAGAAGGAGGAGGAGCGAGGAGGAGCGAGGAGGAGGAGGAGGAAGATATTTGTGCTGGAGAAGCGAGGAGGAGGCGGAGGAGGAGGAGAAAGATGATGAAGAAGCGAGGAGGAGGAGAGGTGAGGAGGAGCTGCCAGCTGGGCCGGTGGGAAGTAGGAGCTAGGAGAAAGCAACGGCGTCGGGCCCAATTGATTTTTTCCATATCTTGAGGGCGGGAGATGTTGAGCGGGCGGTTGTGTTCGTCAATGCGTTTCCTGAAGTCTTTCTCTCTCTCTCTCTCTTTGTCTGCCACTTGCTTTCAGACATACATATCTATGTACGTATATACATCAACTCACCTCGACGTATATCTTCGCATGAGGAGGAGGAGGACACGAGTTGCTGAGCTCGCAGTTGCGTTCGTCCCCGTCTTGGCGAACAGCTGGTCTCTTCGGGGGCGGGCCGCCACTTCATCTCATGCTGATATGGATCGACCGCGGTGCAGCACGATATCCAGCTGCCTGCGGCAAGTCCTGCCGCCGTGGCAGCGCTGCACTCCGTGTGGAGACGCTTCGAGCACCGCCCAGGAGGCCGTAGCATGTGAATATCTATGATGGGGCCGTTTTGGGGTTGTCCTGGGCCCGTTCCGGTCGTCTCGGGGCTCTCGTGGGCCGTCTTGGTGCTGTGTTAGGCCCCTTTTCGACCGTCCCGCAAATCTCCTGGATTGTCTTGGGGCAATATGTGGTCCCTTGTGGAGCTGTCACTGGCCGTCTGCGGGGCTTCTTGAGGCCCTCATTGGGCTCAGTGGGCCTCTCATTGCCTCTTCCGAGGCCCTCTCGATGCCATCCTGAGCCTTGTTGAGCCGAGTTGCCCAGTAACCGCCTAATAGTCCACGCCCAAGAACTGCCTAAATCTTATGACTCGTGTTGGCTTTCCTGGAGGGCTCCGTTAAGTGATGCAGTGGGTGCAGATCGGGACCTATGTGTGGATTCTTGGGATCTGTACGAGGGGTGCTGGGTGCTTCGTGAAGCAATGATGGGCCACCTTGGTGGCCTTCCTGGGCCGTCTTGGGAGCCTTGGAGAGCGGTGGGGAGCTCTGGGGGTGAAACCTCTTGACGGGGATGCGTTCAAGCAAGTGCGGTGAAAGGGGGTGCCGTACAAGATGCGCATCAGCCTAGCCAGGCAGCACGTGACTTTGCCCCGCGCCTCATTGTGCCAGGGGGGCACCGCGGCAGATGAGCGGCAATGCTTTGGCCCCAGGCGCTATATGCACAACTACCAGAGAACGCATACACATATTACATATTGCTGTTTAATATGAAGCGGGGAGTGCTGACGCAGACGCGCGGTAGGACAGTACGCGTCGCGTTGCGATGCGAAGCGTATAAACATGTATGGATGCAGTATGTTCCGTGGCATTGTGTTGTGTGTCAGGAATAAGTGTCCGCTACGCATGCGTTGCGGATTCTTGGTGCATTCGTGCGCGAAGGTATTTAGGATGCCAGCGGGCGATCATGTGGTATGGGTAACCAGAATATGCCTTGACTAAAACATATGAAAGTGTGTTCGTGATGACAGTGTACACCAACTTGCATGTACATGTAGTCGCTATTGTTCAATGCGTTGCAACTGGTTCGGCTGGCACCGCGTGCGCTGTACAAGTACAATGCCGCTGTCCGCTCAAGTGGTGGCCAATGTGTGTCAATGCGTGGGTGTGTAAAACATGTCCGCTAGGTATGCGTGTGGGCTCAACGATTGGAGGGTGTAGATGGTATGCACAATCCTAGCCGACGATAGCATCGGTTTTATAGAGCACGCATCCCGTTTGCAAGGCGCATGTAATACATAGTGATAATAGATGTTTCATATGTGTTACGTGCCTGATCACGTTTACAAGTAGCACCATAAGTGTTGAGGGTGTTATGTGTGTACTTTGATGGCGGCCTGCTTGGCCAGTAGACTGGAATGCAGCGCCAGATGCAAAATATTAGTCTCACATGAAGGCAGCTCGCCCGACGCCTGGAGAAGGCTATGCTTTGGTTGAGCCCGACTTAGGCGCAGACAGAGTATCTATACATTCTGGAACGATTGAGCTCAGAAAAACAACGCGCGGCTCGCGGACCATCGTGGAGGGGCGGGCTTCTGGAGCCAAGGAACAGATCGTGCACAGAGAGGCCAAAGGCAGGGATTGCAAAGGCAGGGGGCAGTCCAGGCTAACATATGTTCGGTAGACCTAAGGCTGAGTGTGCCGTGATTCGTTTTCGGTTGAATGGTTGACGAGGTTGCGTCGAAAGACGTCTCTATTCCCCAGCGCTTGAAGCCCGAACCTCAAAGGTGTGATAGCCATTCGAGATTCGAGCACTACCCCCGAACTTCTAGTCTTGAGTCTACCGTGGTTTTAGGTTCGCGGGCGTACCGCATGTAGTAAAGCAAGTGGGGGGGAAGGCATCCTATTGACAGTTTGAGAAGCAAGGCGGGGACACACAAAATTTGTAAGATGTCGTGAGGTTCACAGGTTTGGTCAGTACCACCAAAATAACATCATATGTTTGTATAGGGTTCAGGGCTGGGTTGAAGGGAACAACCAGCAACATTCCCCAAACAGCTGGTGTTAAAGGTTTCTATCTATTGTGCTAGGGTCGAGTAAGTGGATTGCAGGACCAAGAATCGGCGGGGCGGCGTTCTCTCCCAGTGTCTCCGGTTGTTTCCCGTTGCCTCCTTTTGTCGCAGATTGTCTCACAGTGTCTCCCATTTTCTATCCCCGTCCCTCTCCCTATGTCTATCCCGATCACGTTGTCCATATCATTATTTCTCCCCTACATCCCTGTCTCAATCCCTGTCCCTTTTTTCCTAGTCCTATATCTCTAGGCCTATTCCCTATCCCGATCCCCCCATCGTGACCCCCATTATCTTGGCCCCCATCGTAATCGGTTAAAGCCGTCCAGGGTCGTCTGCCGCAAGCCTTTCATGTCACATTCAATCGTTTGCATGGGGCCCTACAGTGAGGGTGTGGCGTCTTACGACTTGCAGCACGGTTTATATTATATTCAATCGCTTCGCTCATTCCGCCGGCCCATATTGCAGCATCACTGGCGCTTGCCTGCGTGCCCGGGGGGTATTTGGGGGGCCTCCTGGGGCCGGTTGGGGGGCCTCTTGGGGGCATCCTGAGGGCTTCTGGGGGGTCTCTTGGGGCTTCTTAGGGGCCTCTTGGGACCTCCTGGGGGCTTCTTGGGGCCGAGGGCTGGAAATGTTGTTTCGTGTTCCCCCTCTTGGGGCGTTCTTGGGGCCCTCTTGGGCCGTCTTGGAGACCTCTTGGGCCGTCTTGGAGCCCTCTTGGGCCGTCTTGGGGCTCTCTTGGGGGCCTCTTAAGCCCTCTTGGGGCGATCTTGGAGTCGTCTTGGGCTGTCTTGGGGCTTCGGGAAGCGGAAAAGGTGGAAAAGCCAAAATATGTCCAAAACCGAAGGAAAAGCAATGAATTTTGCCTCTTGGGGCCCTCTTGGGAGTACGCTTGGAGACCTCTTGGAGCGTCTGGGGGCCATCTTGGGCGTCTTGGAGCGATCTTGTGGCATCTCGGACGCCTCGTGTACCATCTTGGGGACCTCTTGCGGGCCTCTTGGTTTTGTTTGGGTCCTCGGGGACGTTTTCGGAGCCCTGTTGGTGCGCTCGTGGAGCGCTCGGGGGGACCCGGCCGGGGACCGGCCGGGACCTGGTCGGGGTACTTTTCGTCTGGGGACCCCCAGGGGCCGCCCCGCGCGCGCGAAGTAGAAACATTGTAGAGCAGTTACCGGAGATCTTAGCACGCCTTTGGCCCGTTGGGCCGGCGAATTGGGTTGTTCATCTGATCTTGGCCCAAGGGGGTATCAGTTTCCTTTGTTGTGTGGTTGGTGGTCTTCACTTGAACACATGTTGGGAAGCATATGTATTGACAATGCTTTAAACACATTGATGGCACGAGAAGTGGATAAGGGCCACGGGGGCAGGAAAAACAAGAAAGAGGGTGGAAACGGGAGAGAGAGAGAGAGAGAGAGCCCGACAGCGTATTCCAGCGATTGTGCAGGTCAGTTTTGTGCATCTCTCTCCACGCGATACTGTTTGTGTTCAGCACATTTGAGTGGATGCCTTGTCAAAATCTTGTCCTGCCATACCTGCACTCAACTTGACCCTCGCCCGCTAAACCTAGCTATGCCTGTGTGCTTGTGTGAAATCATGGGGGCATCCTTCGTCCCTGCGGCCCCTCGCACCTTGGGGAGCCCACCTGCGACACGAGCAAAGCTGGGACGGGATGCTGGCGAACTCCGGGCGAGACCCGGGCGACATCCAAGAAAGCTCGGGCCAGTCGCGACGGTTTCGCACATGGACTCGGCAGCACGTGCGTGGTGGGCCAGAAGACAAACGACACCACCACCCCGACGGCCCCACGGGGCTTGGCGTGTACCAGGAAATCCGGCCTGTGTGCTATGCGTGGTAGACGCTGCGGCCCCCGATGGGCCGTAGCGCAACAACAACAGCAGCAGCAACAACAATCATTGTAAGACTGTTCGCTCTTACTGGCACGCGTGTCTTGCATTCTGTATACCCCAACCCTCGATACCCGCTCACTTCGTCTTCGATTGCACCCCTTTCGGGGGGAATATCTTCCTTGTCGGCCGCTGACTGAAGTTCGAGGAATTCTCGAGCGAGAGCGCCGTTCCTGAGTTCGGGGGCCTATTGAAAAATATCGAACGGGAACCTTTATCGCCGTGTCTGGGCCTCCACCGACTTGCCTTAAATTACGAGACAGTCTCGAGCGAGAGTGCCGTTCCTGAGTTCGGTGGCCTTCCTAGCCAGGGGCTCTCGAAGTAAATCGTGAGGAAGTATACAGCAGGAGCCCTTGTCGTCGCGGCTGGTCCTCCGCCAACTTGATTTTTTTGGAAGTCTCGAGCGAGAGCGCCGTTCCTGAGTTCGAGGACCTCTCTGGCCAGGGTGTCTCGGGGTAAAGTGTGAGGAGTTATCGAGCGGGAGCCGTTGTCGTCGTAGATGGGCCTCCAAGGGCCCACATTTAGACTCATGCAAACGCTCGCGCGGGAGCCTCGCTTGCAGAGAAAATGTAGCCAGCGTCGAGGCGAGAGCGCGCGGAACCGCTTCCGCAGATCAACCATATCTGCTCTTTACAAATGAGTCGACAACAACAACGACAACAATACCGACGACAACAACAAGAACATAAAATCACAACAACAACAACAACAACAGCAACAGCAACAACAACAACAACAACAGCAACAGCAACAGCAACAGCAACAGCAACAACAACGTGGAGGGCCGCAGGTGGGGCGGGGGTCGTTTGTTTGTTGGTCGACGCAGCCTCGTGCGCGCGTGTGTCTGAACGTGGCCGCATGCGAGGGCACCGAGGGCGCGGCGCCAGCGAACACCAGCCGAGTTGCTGGGCGACGTGTTACACATCCATTGCCCCCTCTTCCATTCGTGTGACCCCTGACGAATCGTAGGATGGGGAGGATCGAAGAAGAAGAGCTGCCATACATATAAACGTTTGGAGGTGCGCGCGGATGTCTTGGATCCGTGCATGCCCGCTGGGCGGCGCTTCCGGCGCCGCCCCTGGCGCGTTCCGCGCGCCAGGGACGGGGTCCAGCGCGGATCCACGAAATCCGAGCGGTGCTCCAAAAGTTTATATTGATGTTTCTTTTTTTTTGGAGGAGGAGGAGGAGGTCGCACCTTTTTGAGTTACACTTACTTCTCTCAGGGTGCTTGTCGCTTCCCCAAAAGAGTTCTGTTGCACGACGCTGCGAGCTCTGCTCAAAGTTTGCCCAACGCACAAGTAAGAAGGAGGTGGCGGAGGGAGGTACGGGAAATAATCAACAAGAGGAGGTGGGGGAAGATAGCACAAATAGAAAACAACGAAGTGGAGGAGGAGGAAGAGGATGGGCCTCGCAGCAGGTCAGCGAAGCGTTCGCGTGTTTCTTGAAAGCGCCAGGGGGGTTCGTGGCGGCCTGCTGGAAATTCATTGAGTCAGGGTGATTCCTCCTCCTCGTCCTCGTCCTTCTCGGCCTCAAGTCATGCAGTCGACGTGCCAGACAGCAGAAGAGGGTATTGGACGCTTTGGACACGAATGGCAAGGAGTTTATCGCCCCGAGATGCACCCATGAACGATACTACACAGGGACGTTTTGGATCCTCTGATGATTGAGATTCCGTGCCGGGTAGGCGCCATGGTCGATCGCATTCGTTTCTTTTGGAGGTGGCAGTGGCAATGATGGTGTGTACCAGACTACTGATGTGGAAGACTCGGAAGCGCTTTCCGATGTGATCGCTCCGGTGCACCAGAGGCCGAGGCCCTTTTCCGTGTCTCGACACGCTGCGATAGACATTCAATCGGAGGCATTCCAGAAAGGGTCTCGGCGGAAGGCCAGCGGAAGCCAGCGGAGGTAAAAGATTCACCCCCAAGGGACGGAAACATGTTTAGTTTTACGGTTTCCAGAGCCCCATATGTCCGCCATCGTGTTTGGGGACACTATGCAGCAACGTTGTCGCGTGGCACGGTGGTGTCGTTGCATGGTTGTCGCTGCCGCGTGGTATAGTCGGGGCCTCAATTGGGGTTATTTGTGGAAGGTCGAGGCGCGCGAAGAACGGACCGTTCTGAATCAGCGGATCAGGCGGTGCCCGATCGGGGCCCCAAATTGTTGTCTTTTCCCAAAGGAGTGCGACGCGCATGGGAGGTAGTCTTCGTCTGCAGATCTGTTCGAGTGTGTCTACAGTCGGGCTGCTGAAAGAAGGAACGATAATCAAGGAACGAAGCCCCTTTTTGGCCCCACAAGCGCCTGCGTGAACGAGGAAGGCTAGAGGAAGCGCCATAGAAGGACCTAGGGAATATCGAGCCCCTTTCTCACCCAAACTGTTCCTTATTTCAGCGACTTGGCTGTACTGAGGCGTTGGCCGATGGTCTCCAAGTAGGGAACAGCTGCGTGCGTCAGGATGGGATCCACCAGTCTGGGCTTGCGGACAGTGCGTGTCTGCGCCCGCGCTCTGAGACTGGGTTTCCATCGCTACGCTTAGGTCGGGCCTGTCCCTCTACAGGAGGAATATTCAAACATAGAGAAAATACGGTCTGGGGAC